TGTATAAATGTCTGACAAAAATCAATTCCTCCACACTAAACTTGCGGGTCAGTTCTAAGTAGAATCGTAAGACTCGTAAAATGTTCTCGTAAGACTTGTAAGAACTTTCAAGTGCTTATATGCAATATCTTTATAGACAGCTTATTGCTAGTATTTACGAGAAATATAAAGTAGATATTTACGCGAATAATCGTACTATTACGGTACATAGAATTACAATATCAATCGTAAGTTCTACAAGTTTTACGAGAACAAGTTACGAGCCTTTACGATTCCGTTTAGGATATATTAACCCATTAATTACATATCTGCCAATTTGTCCGCTTCGATCGCATTGTAAATTAAGAGAAAACACATAAGACATCGTTACGTCATCTCACGAGAGACTCGACGTGTCGTTTTCGCGAGGCGCATATAATTGGGATGCCCCGTTAATTTCCATTAATTTTCATCGCAACGACACCTTCCGCCGTCATTAAACGAACACTGTCCCCGGCGTTTGTTGCGCCTCATTTTCATAATCCTTCCTCTTAGATTGCTGCAAAATATACCGGCATTATTTTATTGCCGGCTAGCATCTTCCCACGATCATCTTTCTCGATATGTACGTTCTACGGTACATGATGGATGTTTCTTGCGCGATGATCGATGTGTAGAGTATCGCGGATCTATTTATAATAATCGGGCATTGAGAAAATCCTCAAACAATTCAATATTGTATAATGAATTCGATCGTTTTGAATATTATCCGAAAATTCTTGAATACCTTGAAAATTTAAGTTGGAATCATCTTATGCATTGAATATCATCTTACCCTTACAGTAATACAATTTCTCATTAAACACCAATTAATTCTACAATAACATAACATCAATATTAGAATTTTACACTTAAGAACGTAACTGTTACATACAGCATGTGTTATATTATATTTATATTGTTCAGTGTAAAATTATAACATATTAGAGCTAGAGTTTCTACAATAAGCCATTACCTAATAAGCTTTAGTCATGAACTGTAAGAAATCGACCAATCACAATTGTGAATGTGAGAAGAATAATCGACTATGATTAGTTAATTTCTTCCGGCTTAAAATTTAAACCTTAAGTAATGGTTTATATTGTAGAAAGCCTATATATTAATAATGTTACGTTATTATTAGTTGCTTACTGTGCTTACTGTATTATTAGCAATATATATGTATAGCATTTATACTGATATTTTCCAAGTAAAGCACAAAAATTGTAATAATATCATAAGGACATCATGACTTTATTTGTTACAAATTTATTGTAAATCTCAAACGGTATACGTCATGATGACGTCCTATGTTATCAATTCAGGGATGGGAAAGTTACTTTTAAAGTTACTTTAAAGTTACTTTTTATTTAGAAATTAAGAGAGTGCAATTATAAATAATATGAAGTTGAAGCAAATGATAAAATATATGAAATAAAATATCTTAATTTATTGTAATGAATTTCTAAATAAAAAGAAACTTAAAAATAACTTTAAGAGTAACTTTCCCATCTCTGGTTATCATTATGACTTTATTATACTGATCACTCTGGGACATGTTCAGATTCCCAGCCGGATACTCCCGCCTAGTGAGAAATGGCAATGGAATTGATATCGAATCGACGACATCAATTTGATGATTTTGATGTCAAATCGACATCGAAACTCACTGGGTCACTGGGCGGGATGTCATCCTTATTTAATGTTCGGTAAACAACAAGCAAAATAGAGTGATACCTGGATGGCACTAAGGGTGGAACTCTAAAACATTAGGGATGTTTTGCAATACCGTTTATCCAGATACGGTGAACGCTATCTTCTTCTTAACAACTAATTAAGAAAAGGATAACATGACTTTAGCATTTAGTGTTCATCACACATATCTGGATCCACGTTATTATTGCAAAAACTCCCTATTATATATATGTATATATATATATACAGAAAAAGCAAAGTTTACTACGTATTTCTGTAATGCGCACGCTTACGCAATATATATCGCGTGTCGTTCGCCGCATCGGAATTCGAAAATGTCACGGAATTTCGATCCGCGAGATCGTTATATCGCCTATCGATCAGAGAAAGAGAAAGAAAGCATTATTTATTGTTCGCTCGACAGATCTCTTTAAGCGAGAGAAAGAGATATCCCTCTGTCGCGAAATATCTGCCGCGCGATCTCTTTCGGTTACTCCAACCGATCGGTTGCTCCTCTCTCGCGCTGGTGAAGCAAGTGAATGGACGCCTTGGCTGTCGGTAGCTGGAGCCTTCCTGCGAGCGCGAGGTTAGCCGAGCAAAAAGAAAATATAGTTCAGGCTGCTGAGTAAAAAGCCGATTGCATAATGTAACCAAGGCACGTCGCAACGTCGCTTTTACGAGGCGGTGCAGCTCCTCTTTGCTGTCATTGTTGACCTTTGGAAAGTAGCAGGCACTCATATAAGCGCGTGTACCCCAAGGGGTGCAGCCGTCGTCGCAGTGGCGGGCCTCATAATGTATGTTATGTGGCCGAACATAAATGCGCGCACCTCTGGAATCAGATCTAGATCGAGCGATGAGCGCGAATGAACGAATTTGCTTCAACGCACGAGCGTGTTCAAGTAGCACGCAGTGCTTACAAAGCATTAACAAAGCGCTAAAAATGTGTATACAATCGTTTTTTTTAGCGCTTTGCAAGTGCTACTTGGGTGTAGACACAGTGCCACGAGTCCAATTACTCGAATCTCCCTTACAGAAATCAAATTTAATACACTTAAAGCCCAGTTTTAAAACTCACGGTTAACTCTTAACCGAGGTTGAACTTGTTTCTCATTTCTTTCCAATCCTAGAATTGAAAAGAGATAATGAATAAGTTGAACCTCGGTTAAGAGTTAACCGTGTGTTGTAAAACAAAGGCTAAATTTTGCTGAAAACCTGAAGATTTTAGTTAGATACAGATCTGAAAATGATTTTGCTGGATCAAAACAATTATTAGGTAGGATAACAAAATTGGTTGCTAAAATATCAAAACATTTTGCAGTATTGCTCATAATGCAAAATTCTTGCAAAATTATTTTGATGGTCCAACAAAATTACTTTCAGATCTGTATCTAGCCAAAATTTTTAGATTTTTCAGCAAAATTGCTGTTTCACTATTGGAAAAAAAAAGATTAATTGCTTATTTTGAGTATTAAAAGCATTATTATTTAGGAAGACATTTAACTTTGTTAGTAACTAAACTTATTATTTTTTTATAAAAGACATGAAACACATTAATCAATCTGCATCCAGATTAAAAAAAAATAATTAATACTAGAAGATAACGATTATTTTGAGTATTAAAAGTACTGTGAACAACACAATATGTGTCTAATTAATATATATCTAATTAATACTCAAAATAAGTAATTAATTACTATACTTTCCAGTAAAATGAATTAAATTTTTGTAAGGGAGGCAAATTGACAAATCCATCTTTTAAAAATAGTGGCGAAATTATAAAAATATCTTTGACCCTACAAAGACAAGCCTTAATTAAAAATGACCTTTTAAGCGTATGCGATAAGCGTGTACGACAACACTTGTTGGAATTAATCGATTGATCCAACGCGCCTTTTCATAGAGTAATTATATACATATTGTATTGACATGCGTGCTGTAATCGCAAGGAGGATTAATTAACTATTCGTGCCGTACTTTCGATATCTTCGTCAATACTTTCGCCATAATCATTAGCAAATAACTTGCAATGAAGCTGACTTCATTCATCGCAAACCGGTTCCGCGATCGCTACAGGTTGATCCGGAAAATTGGCACTAAGCAGAAACGCAATACAAGCTGAGAAGATAGTGATATAATCGTATTAGTTGTGAACTAATCTAATTGTCTTGCATTGTAAATGCAGCCGGCTGCTTTCTCGCAGAAATGAAAAGGCATTGCTAATAAAAATATCTAACGAGTAACGATTCGAAAAGATGATATAAGCGATTAACCTAATGCTTCAATACATGATCTCTTGAATTTTCAAAGAAGGTATAAAAAATATTGACACATTTAATAGTCTTGACGCTTTCGCGGGCACTTTCTTTACAGAAATTATGCGTTTCGCGGGTTATCTCCGTGTACAAATCCATTCTTAGGGCGGTATTCATAGCCAGATCTTACACTTAAGGTTTCCTTAAATTTATCTTTAGATGCTCAGTAGCAAATAAAATAATTTGTAGAGCATCTGAAGATAAATTTAAGAAGCCTTAAATATAAAGTCTGAATATGAATACGGGCAATAGTTCTTATTTCAAGACTGTCTTAAATAATGTCTTAAGATGCTAATATGGCCTTCTGATTGGTTTGTGACTTCTTAAGATTGTACTTAAGGTCTTGAATATGAGATCTGACTATCAATACCGCCCTTAGAATGCCAACGTTTCGTGAATATTGCATAAGTACTCAGTATCAGACTGTTCCCCGGCCTGATGAAGTGAACTACAATGTTCACCATGAGAGGCATCTAATGTTTCTACGCAAGATTTAATTTGAGTTAATGATACCGACTGTGATACCTACCTAGTACACATGCTCATTTAACATAATTACCCAAAAACAAATTCCAGAAAACAAGTTTTTGAATGTTGGAATCATTAAAATTTTGCAATTTAATTATCAAAAAATTATTATTTTTATAATCATTACTTTACAGTAATTAATTTTGAAATGCAGTTTTGATGTAATAACTGATTGTAAAAAGAAAAAGTTCTTTTAAGATAAATGTCCTTTAAATGCTCTTTTAAAATATATTTTTTTTGTTTCTAATTTTGTTCTTTTTCTACAAGCAACTCTAAAATGATAATTATTTGTAAAAAATTAGAAACTTAGATTGCAAACGATATGATATACATACACTATGCATTACTTTGTACAAAACTGTTTTGCTGGAAATATGCTATTTACATACATACATGTAATATTCTATAGTTTATTTAACATAGATATTACAAAATTAACATTAATAATTATAAAATATCTCGTATTCTCGGCCTTCTGGTTGTTTTCGTTCTTTGTTCTGCCACTTGCAAAGGTGACGATATTAGGCCGATTAAAGTGCAATCAGCTTCCAGAAGAGTTACATCCGTTTCAGCACCTAAGAACTTGGAGGAAAGTTCCAAATCCTTTATCCTTAATCGAACCTTAGATCCTCTCACATAGTATCTAATATAAAGAACAAATTAACAATATTTGAGGCAGTATTCATCAGTAGATATATTTGAAATATACAGAAATATCATTAAACAACCCAGATAGCAAAATACTAGCAGTATGCCAGCGTTATGTCGACAAATTCAGTCACAATTGTAGAGCAGATTCCTGTTCACTGCATCTTCTTTAAGCTTGGTTTTTGTCATCGTGACTTGCCAAACATAGTATAACAACAGAAATGCAGCAAGAATAGAGCATATCTTGTCATCATAATATGATGGTAGAAACATGACAAAAATAGAATATGGCCTGTCATATTAGATACTAGTGACAAAAAACAGCAGAAATCATGCATGATGTGCTACGATGTGCTTATGATACGGCATCAGAAATATGACAAAAATAGATCATCGCTTGTTATATTAGACACAAACGGCAGAAACACGACAGAAAATGTGCATGATGATGACTTACAATTCGTCTATCATATCAGTTACTAATGGCAGAAACAGCAGAATTATTACCTAGTTCTTAAAAAATCAGTTTAATATTCTAAATTCTCTATAGGAATTGTATCAAAAATTAAACGGGTAGGAAAATACTACACATTTTTATTTTCACTCGTCGCGTTATGCAGTCTTTATATTCAGCCATAACAAAAATTTAAATAGGAGAAAAATATCGATAGTTACGTTGAATAGTGGTAAATGGAAGAAATATGGTCTGATATAACATTTCCGTGCCATGTTTCTGCTGTATATTTGCTGTTACTTTTTGAGACAGCAGCACATGTTTTATTTTTGCCATGTTTTCGTCGTTAAGCCGTGCAAGCAAATAATTTCGATTTCTGATGACATCTACCAGTATAATATGATAATATCATGTTATGATCAGTTTTAATATAGTTTTTGATGACATGTCGTATCAGCATGCAATGTTCAAAATGTACTGCTTTTATAGTAAGAATTTCTGCTTAATTTTTGCAAGATTTTTTATAATACATCTTGATATTGGACCTGCTTGTTTTCTGCTACTTTTTACCGACACCATCTGAGATGACAAATCATGCTCAACTATTATCCGAGTTCTGCCAACATAGTTTGTAGCACACAAAAGTAATACATGATCTTAGTAGATTTGGTTATCTGGGAAATAAGATGTATTTTGAAAAAAAATAGATTTACACGTACTGTCCATTCTTGACAGGTCTCTGACAAACGCAGGGAAACTTCCATCCAAAATCAATATACAGATCATCACCAACCACATGATATATCTCACCAATTACGACTTTTCCTTCGGGATCACCCAACTGAAAACAAAATTATGTATTTAATAAAGAGCAGTCAAACAATTGGTTGCACTATGAAAAGGAGAGATTTACATCGACAAATTTGGAGTTACGAATTAAGGAAACGAATGTCTGTGGCGTTTCTGGTTTCTTATCGTCAATGTGCGAGAATTTTTCGTAACTTCGTGCAAAACCGCTCAATTTTGCTTGAGATTCCTGAGTTGCTTCTACATTCTCATTTACTTGTGTTGCTGGTTCCTTCTCGATATTAGGCTCCACAGACGAAAGCGAATCCTTGCTTTGTTCCTCTGAATCTTTACTCGTGCTAAAACATCTCGTGGACGAGGAACTCGCTCTCAAAACGCCGAGAGATCGTAAATGCGTTAACGTTCTCTCGAGACTACGTATCTTGTTCATGATAACAACAAAAAGTCCCGTTTTCCGTATTGTCACACTTCCACACCGTCAATGGTCGCGTTCAGCAGCTCAACTGTGTGGAGCGGATCCGTGAGCGCTCGCTGCTATTGGATGATCTAGAAAAATACACCAATCGAGTGCTCAAGGATCTGCTCCACAATAGTTAAGTCTGCTGAACGCGACTGACTTTAGGCAGAGTTTTATCGCGATATTATTAAGTTTTATATTCGCAAATTAATAATTAGTAGTAAATACGATCTAATTGTTGTTAGAATTTCTTCTGCATTTATTAATATTTCATTAAACATTGGTTTAGAAAAATTTGTATTATCGTACATATTTTCGACGTTTTCGTATAATCTCGCATTACTAAAATTTTTTAATTATGGTCCTATATTATCACTTTTATTATATTCTGAACAGCATTGATAATTGTATTGTAAATAGTTATTATAATTGTAATGTCGAATTGTATAAAGGAATAATACAAAGAATAATATTTAAAAAGTTATTGCAATTTCATTATAGCGAAATACAATAAAATAATTAGACATAAAAATAAAATAAATTAAAGATATACCTACCTGCAAAAACGGGCTACTAAATTTATTAGTAGCTCGTTTGTTTTATGGCTGAGTATACTTACAAAGAAAAGAGAACCGCCGATAAAATTGGAGGGGGTGGTGGAGGGCCTGTATATCTCGTTTTTGCTAAATTATACCTTAAATTGGCAATATATGTTTAGAAGAGACTGAATTTATTAAAAACCTCTATATAATTGCTAGTAATTATAGAGACTTTGATGCATACTAGTATAATTATATCTGGCAAAAACGGGCTGAAAATTGGCATAAAGAAACATAACTTCGTAATTTTATAAGATATTATAAGATAAAATTCATTAAATTAACTTGTTTGAATTTTCAATTTCGTTTATTAAAATTCAAAAAACAACTTTTATTTACATGTGTACGAGATGCGAAATGGATAGTCGGCACGTTTTGTCCTGAGGATTTAGTACACAGACGAACCACATCTACTTTCGACGATACGATTTTATCGATAGTGTTGGAAAGTGTATATATTATAGTCACGTAGTTCTCTCTCAAATTGAAAATGGATGTACTGACGGTAGGGTATGGGCGATTTCAACCGTAAGAGCCCAGACACAAGCTTTTGCATAACGCATAACGCATAGTGCATAAGCGAATCAACCAATCAAAATTCTTCTTTTCCATGGAATGAGAGGAAAGGAAAGATTCTAATTAGTTGATTCGCTTATGCACTATGCGTTATGCGTTACCCCGGATCTACAATAGGGTTTTAAGCCTTATGCCGTAAGAAACTGACCAATTGTAAGGAAAATAATTGATTGTGATTCGTCCATTTCTTATGGCTTAAAGCTTAAAAATCTATTGTAGATCCGGGGTTAGAGCCCAGACACACACTCTTGCATAACGCATAATGCATAGTGCATAAGCGAATCAACTAATCAGAATCTTTCCTTTCCTCTCATTCCATGGAAAAGAAGAATTTTGATTGGTTGATTCGCTTATGCACTATGCATTATGCGTTATGCAAGAATGTGTGTCTGGGCCCTCACTTTCCAATTCTTGAATTGGAAAGAAATGAGAAACAAATTGAACTTCAGTTAAGAGTTAACCGTGAGTTGTGGAACTGGGCCTAAGTATACCATACTGATTTTAGACTTACGGCCGCAGCACACACTCTTGCATAACGCATAATGCATAGTGCATAAAGGAATCAACCAATCAAAATTCTTCTTTTCCATGGAATGGGAGGAAAGGAAAGATTCTGATTAGTAGATTCGCTTATGCACTATGCATTATGCGTTATGCAAGAGTGTGTACTGCGGTCTTTAGGGTGCCGTCACATACAGCCCGTAATCCGTAATCCGCATCGGATGTCCGCAAAAGTTACTACGGATTGCGTATGTAGTATATACATTATGTTGTCACGTTATTGTAATATTAAATACATTATGCAGTTTTTTATATTATATGATGTTTCAGATTACCCTAAAGGGAGATTAAAACGATAATGTTGTCGCTGTTTGCTGTGTCAAGTGTTGCAAGCAGAAACATTTCTACTTCAACCCCTGTGAGTCAGATAATTAAATAGAGTTAATTGAGAGTAGTGAATAACAGCGAAGCAAGCTATGATATAGAGTAGACCACTATTAGCGTTTTCGACTGGGGTGCACTGGCTGCACTCAGTGTCAAGAGCGTGTTCGATTGGCAGTGCCAATGCGCACTTGGCTAGTGTCACGTGTTCATTTGATCGCACGACACTCGCGTAGTGCGCACTCAGTGCGCACTAAGTGGCACGAGATATTTTGACGGTGCCAGTTCAATGCACGTTTTATCACAGTTAAGGATATATATAGGGACAAGCAAATCTGCGCAGTTGAATTGAAAACGGAGTCTTGTCCCTACTCTTAATATCTTTTATTGTGGTTTTGTAACATTTTGTTGAACATTGCTTCAAAGTGAACAAAAATGAGTTTCAGCTTTTGCACTGAAAATCTTGGCGTATTCTTTTGAACTTGCACTATTCAGTGCAACCCATGGAACTCGTCCAGTGTTGGTGTGAACTAAGTGCGCACTGGTGCGCACTAACTTTTGCCCAATCGAAAACGCTATATGTTGCATACACGTGTACGACAAGCGCTGGACAAGGGTTGGATATATCGGTGAAACAATAAATGAAAAACTACATAACAGATATCATTTTATAGGAAATTTATCTAAACATTGTTATACGTATTATTCAGGTGATAGAATTTTAGATGCTATAAGAGGTGAAAAGGAAAAGAACGTATTGGTTGGATTGAAACAGCAACAGGTCCTTAAAGTTCCCAAGTTTGATAGCAACAATCGGGTACTCGTAGACGACAACGGCACAACTCTTGGTACAAGAATACAGGTGCCTATTCCTCATATATTCCAAACAAAAATGAAAGAACAGACTTACAGCAAAGCAGCGGATCATACTAAACTAATAGCGATTGCATCCAGGTTCGTTTAGTATATCTTGCCTACTATTATATGTATTAAATATTTCATTATAATATTGTACTTATTTAGTATTTTCCACAAAACTTGTAATATGAAAGTGTATTACTCATGCATCTCTGTGTATTTTGATGTATATTAATATTTTAGTAATAAAATTATCACATTTAAACCTATTTTTTGTTATATATGCACTAGAGATATGTTCCACTTAACACACCTTTGCAATGTACGTGTCATCACATTATCTCATCCTTGTTTAATGTTTGATGACAAGGATGAAATGATATCGCATATTCTATGTATACATGCTGTGACTTTAGTACGTAAGTATAGCGCTGGCAAGTGTAACTTTAGTTCAATTATCAGCCACGTGATGTCTATCACTTTGTATTTAAGCGATTATTTAAATTAATTGTCGAAGGTATATTATGCCTATGTTAATTGATTTGATATTTTTATTAAGATTTTAGCAAATTACATAACTTTAATTCTTCGCCTTTAAATAAAATACATTATCAAATTTGTCTTTATCGAATTTGCAAATCAAATTAGTAATGCAAATAATCCTTCAATTCCCGAAAGCACTTGTTTTCAATACGATTCCTATATAAGAATAGAATATAGATGAGTATTTCGGATCCTCAGGGGTAGAGGATCGGTAGTCTGATACTGGTGAAGAAAGTGTCCTTTGCTGTCCTTAATCTGGGAAGTTGGAATAGAGATCAACATGGTTTAATCATCAAAATCTTTATTCAATAGTTTCAACAGGCTCGGCTACAAAACAATACAAAGCTGTGTTTCAGCATTGCAAGTGTGATGAATGGCTTTCAACGATCTCAAACCGAAAAAAAAGGTCTGAAAAAACAGACCCAAAAAACAGTTGGACAGCATTTGTGTGGCGCCTACGAATGTTGTCCAGTCTACAAAAAAAAATAATGATAGCAAATAGTCAATAAACTAATATAATCAATAAGCTGTATTTAATACTAACTTATTGATTAGCTCTAGTTTACAACACTAACAATACTCATTAACAATACTCTAAAACAACTAAAACCAACACCATACAGTATTATTCCGTAACAGTATTACATCACACTTCTGTTGAACACAGCTTGATATCAGTTAACAGGAGCCATTGGACAGCAAAGGCACTATCCTTATTCTATCAGTAACGTCGACTACTTTTTTGCGTTCAGCATAACGCAACAGTTATTTTGCTGTTCAAAAATTTTTATGACTCTAGTCTAAAGCCAGCGGCACACAATGCTCTTTTTCCTGCTGGATTGCTTGCGTGCTACTGTGCTGGCAATCTGACTGGCTGCTATGCTGGAAATTGTATGGCTTGCAGGCCCCGCTGCTGACTGATCCGCTGGATTTTCGTGATAGAACCGGTGCTATTTTTCTTGCTTGATTTCATGCTGGCTTATTGTAGAATCAATCACGACGCCGCTTCATTTGAAGATGGCCGCTGGGAAGCGTGTAAACACATGTGAGTACGCAAAATTCAAAAATACAATATTTTGTGCCGACTGTGCAATAGAATACTGGTCACGTTTACCTACCTCGTAATATTTATCGATAAAGTTCATGACTCCTCAGGGCTCAGGTTAGGAATTTTTATGTACTTGTAATAAATTCCAGTTGCTCAGCCAGTACTAAAACTCGCATCGTCTGAAGCCAAACTAGCAACACAGCCAATAGCACAGCCAGCACTGTTGCTAACACGGCAGCAAGCACGCAAATCCAGCTAGCAATCCAGCAGGAAAAAAAGCATCGTGTGCCGCTGGCTTAAACGACCCGAAACGTACTCAGCATCTCGCAACACGTTTACTTAACGGTCGCCATGATCGCCATCATGGTGGAAAGAAGAATGATGAGTCACTCTCATTATTCATCATTGATCATGGTGGAGGAAATCACCATGGACTGATGGACAATGGAGTAGGTACCACAGTTGGTAGCATCAGCTCGATTATTATCACTGTCGGTATTTGCATAGCGATTGGTATAAATACGTGGAATTATATACCGAAAGATAGAAAGCTTTCAGGTCGCATCACACACTCTTGCAAAACGCATAATGCATAAGCGAATCAACTAATCAGAAGCTTTCCTTTCCTCTCATTCCATGGAAAAGAAGAATTTTTATTGGTTGATTTCTTTATGCACTATGCATTATGCGTTATGCAAGAGTGTGTGCTGCGGCCTTTAGGGTGCCGTCACATACAGCCCGTAATCCGTAATCCGCATCGGATGTCTGCAAAAGTTACTACGGATTGCGTATGTAGTATATACGTTATGTTGCCACGAATGTTATTGTAATATTAAATACATTATGCAGTTTTGGTAATTATTCAGAATACCTCACTCACCTCCGATTTCGATAAAATTAGGCTTATTCGACGCGTTTTTGCATGAAACGAAAGAATCTGGCAGAAAAAAGTGTCGCTCTGCCTCGCGAACCGAGATATTTAGTGTTAAAGTTGACGACTACGGAGGTTAGGAAATCTGTCATACCGACTATGTGTAATAAATTAAACGTATGTAGTAGTGCTTAGACAGTGTCCGCTTGGAATATTTGTAACCCATGTAGACAGTGGGATGTATAGACAGTAATGCTTGGGTTC